TTTTTTTAATGCTAGTTTTTAGGGGGTTGGACTTGATGATCTTTGAGGTCTCTTCCACCCATAATGATTCTATGATTGTAAGATTTCCATTGGGAAGGTGAGCATCCCAGAGGGGTCAATGAGGGGTCCTGGAGGTCTTCAAACCTTGCAGGTACCCATCGCATCTGATTGCCCTGGCCAAGAGGGACCATAGTGACCCATGTTGGCCAGGATTCTACCCATTGTGAACTTGGGGGGGGGGCATTGTTCACTTGGCCAATGGGAGGGCTCAGAGCTGCCCCTCATTTGCATGCTCACGGGTATAAATTGAGGAGGTCGGGGGTGTTTGTAGCATTTGCGGTCTGAGCAGTGCGGGGACAAGGCTGAGCCATGGCATCTTCTAGGGGAAGGACCCAGCAGGGAAGGAAATCCCAGAAGGGAACGAGACAGAAGATCCATGGTAGGAGACCTCCGGCCAAGCAGAGGAAGCAACGGGGCCAGGTGAAGCGGCAGCCCGTGAAGAAGCAGAAGAGAAGAGCTTCGAAAGGCTCCTTCCACTCCATCAATGCCAAGATGCTCAACCAGATCAAGCGAGACAGCTCGCTCTTCTCCCACCATGCGAAGGGGCTGATGACCAGCTTCATGAAGGACATCTACACGCTGGTGTGCAACGAGGCCGAGCGGCTGCGGAGGCAGAGCCGCGATCCCTTCATCTGCCAAGTGCACGTGCAAGCTGCCATGCAGCGCTTGGTACCGAAGAGGATGTGGAGGCACATGCCCGCCATCTCGAGAGCCATAGAGTAAGAAAAAAAAAATCATCTTTCCCTTGAGGTTTGGATGGGTGGTAAAGAAGAGCTAAAGCCCAAGGGAGAGGAATTAAAACACCAAACCACCCCAATTGCTGAAAAGATCTGTGCAGTCAGCTGGTTGAGAAGACCCGAGCAATGCACCAGGTGAAGCATGAAATGATCAACGTTGCATTGCAGTAAAGGCCGAACAAAGCAGATTTTGGTCGTGTCAGGGTTTGGTTTTTTTCTGCGGGAAAGGATGATGGGGGGCTGGGCTGTGGCTTGGTGGTTCATTAGTGAGAATCTGTAAGTATTTTTTTTGATCTTGGAGAAATATAGGCTTTCATGGCCCTTCTTGCTGCAAGTAGATGGTTGTATACACTTGGATATACGTACTTTAGCTACCAGCAGATGATGGGAATTGCTGCGAGCAAAGTCCCACGGGTCTAAATTACCTTAGGACAGCAATGGTGATATCCCAGTTCTGCTAAAGCCATCCCTCAGCATTATCCGTGACAATGAAAGCAGTGATTCTTCAAAAGAAGTGAGATCAGGCTGGCCACGCGCTGTGCAGCAAGGGTGCTGACTGGCTTTTAGAATAACGGTTTGCCATCGCTGTGTGTGCTTCGAGGGTTGAATTTGCTGCAAAACGGCCTGTTATTGGTATCATTAGAGGGGGGGAAAAAAAGAGGAAATTTTTTTTGGGGGAAAATGCAATTTTCCTCATTGGGAATCAAAGCCGGGCCATGGCGGTGAGAGCACCAAATCCTGATCACTAGACCACCAGCAACACTGTACAAATCATTTACCATTGCCCCCCATGAGTGGCCGCCCCACGAGAGATTCCACGGAGGGGGAGGCTCTGCTGCCCTCGCCTCTCCCT